TCTTCGTCTTCCCCTTCGCCCAGCTTAATCCTTGCCCCATCTTCTCCGCGAAGTGATTGGCCGCGTAGTTGGGATGCTCGGATGAATGTGGAGAGCGGGAAAACGCGCACCACTTGGATGAACACCCCAATCACGTAGGACCATGCAACCCCGCGGGTCGAACCCCCTAACTCCCCACCTTTCTCCTGTCCTGCTCATCTACACCCTGCGCTGCCCGCACCTCGCGCTGACAACCCGCCGCCTCCTGTGCTATAAATTCGCGCAACAATCTCCTCTCCCTCTTTTTTATCTCGGCTACAATGCTGCGCGAGCTATGCGCGAAAGTCTGCGGCGCCGAACAGGCTCGACGAGCCCAAGGACGGGCGGAGTGACGACGTGGGGTGGACCYGCGGTAGTCTCGGGGCGACGCAGTCGGAGGGACCGAGCAGTGGTGGGGATTTGACGCCGGCCGCAGCAGGGCCTTGTGGCTATGGTGGTCGGTGGTCTTGGGAGGTTTGAAGGCTGCGCCTAGGGGCGGTAGTTAATTGAAATTTTTGTGTACAAGAAGGACTCGCTTTTATCTCCATTGCTGCTTTGTCTATGCATGTCGTATGTGTGAAGCCCTGAGTGATGGGGAGCTGGTTGTGTGCATGAGTGATATCGAAGGTCTATGGATGATTAGATGTCCTGTCGAGGGTTGTTGATTGTTTGCATGCATGTGCGTATGTACTTGTCCGGGTGGGGACGGGGAAACTGAACTGGGGGACCGTCTGCCTAGGAGTACGAGTGTGTTCATCCCGTTGTTCCCCTCCCTTCCGCGGCCCTTCGCGCGCGCGCGCGTTCTCGGTGTAAGCTCTCTCCCTCTCTCTCTCCCGCCTTCCTTTTTGAGCTTCTTGTCCCCGTACCGGTGACATCAACCGCCTGCGTCCGCGCGCGCGGTCGACGCCCCCGCAAGGGGAAGAGAGCTTCGATTTCGCCATCTTCCTTCGACGCACTAACCCTGAGAGAGAAGGTTGCATCGAGTGTTGTATGGAGTCGATGTTGGTTCGGATGACCGCGAGCGTGGGATCCTGCCAGTATTCCTGCCCTACCTCTGATCGTCTCATCTCGCTATCGACCTTCCCCATCAGAGATGACGACAGCCTCTACTGCGATGCGGACGTACGGCGCGCGCTGAGGCGAACGGAGCAAGTGTGATGGCAAGACCCGCCTCGGGCTTGTGATATAAGGGGGAACGGGTTTGTCTTGATTGAGCGTTTTGATCCCCCGACTTTAATATTGCCTTATACAGGTTTGACTGTGTTGCCCTGGTCGGCCTCTCACGCCGCGTGGCGGCCGCAGTTTGATTGTCGCTGGTGTCGCCAGGGGGACTCGTGTTCTTGGCGACGATTGGTCCTGGGATACGAGGGAGCGACACGTTTTCCCGAGCTTTTCCGTAGTGTGGGGGCGCTGCCCGCGCAATTTCGAATTTGAATGCAGGCGAGTCCTCCCGCCGCTTTATCCTCCTGGAACCTTCCGCGCCAACTCTGTGAGTCCGATGCTGAGGCTTGAAGGCCTCGAACCAACCACCTCTACAGCAAAGACCCGATGGTTCGGTCACTTTGTGAGGCCGATGACGAGGGCTGAAGGCTTCGAACCCACCACCTATCCCCCAAACCCCTGATGGCCGAAGTTTTGTCTCCCGCCGCCATGGCCCTCTCCCCTTGAGGCCTTTTCGCGTCCTGATGCATGACGGCAGTTCGTTTTCGCGGAAACCCTCCTGATTTTATCGTTTCGGAGCAATGTGACCCCCACGGGACTTCGCGACGACAGTTCGACTCCGGGGTAACCTCTGGCACGAAACGAGAGTCTCTCGTTCCGTCCGAGAGACTCAACCCCTACGGCCAAAAATCCTCGGCCACGCCCCTTTTAGAACTCTGATCGGCGACCCAATACGGGAAGCCGCGAGGGGGCGTGAGGTTGGTATCAGAGCTGATTCGTTTCGGCTCCGAGGTTTTCCTAGGACGAATACCCTGCTTAAGAGTTTTCCTCTTTCTGATCTCTCTTCTTAAATTTTTCTCATTTTTGAGTAGGCTGGCTCCCCGTCGCTGGCGGCCCGCGAATAGCAATCAGAACCGAGCGAGAGGCCGGGCTAGAAACCCGCCTCCCGCGATGGTGGAACCCGGGATTGGGGGTGAAAACGACGGTGATAACCACGCGGGGATGGCCAATCATCCCCTGTACTTTGTACCTCCTCCCTCCGAAGTTCCCATTTTCTCCGAAGATGATACCGACCCTCGCACCTGGCTAGCTGCCTTGAAAGCCCCACGACGGTGATAACCACGCGGGGAGGAAATTTCTCGACAGTTTTTATCACATCGCACCAGCTCAATGCCTCCGTCTAATAAAGGAATACACGCAGCAGCCCTGGGAGACCTTGGCCAGATACGCTGAACGTTTTACGTACCTAGCCGAACGCTCCGGGGTGGACGAGAAAATGGTACGGACTGATTTGGTCAGAGGATTGTCAGATTTTCGCTTGCGAAAAAAGATCCGCAAGAAATGCAACCCTATAGAACATACCCTAATGGAGCTAATTCAGTACGCAATTAAGTATGGGAAAGAAAATTACGATGTAGGCCTGGACTCGGAATCCGACGAAGATGACCCTTCGGGTGTTCGACGCAATAGCTACTCCGCTACAACACGAATTCGGATAGGGTCCGGCAAAAAAAGGCTCGGATCGGAAAGCTTCTTCCTCGGCTTCGACCTCCCATCGCTCTAGTCAAGCACAAGGAGGCCGGGGTAAGGAAGAAGTGTCCATAAAAGAGGTCGCGGCCCAATTAGTTATAGTAGTGGCCCCGCTGACGGAGTTTGTTCAGGGCCTGCAGCGGCAACGCTTAGCTGCCGCACAACGGCAACAAGCAGCTATGGCCGCCGGGGCCCCTATGATAAGATGGGCCGTGGCTGGGGCTGTCCCGCCCCTAAGCTGTCATAACTGTAATCAGCCAGGTCACCTTGCGAAAGATTGTTCGAAACCTCGAACTCAGGGGGGGCCCACTGGGCCTTCCCAAAAATTGTTGGCTGCTCCAACCGCTACAGGACAGGGGAGGGTGGCCACGGTGATGGATACCGGGGCAACGGAGATGGTGACCCCTGCGGCCACTGAGATAGGGCCCGATGAATACATGGCTGTGGCGATGTTCGAACCCGGGACCATAGGAGTGATACATCACGTCCAACGGATTACCGAGGAAAGCGACCTCGGGCCGTGGCGACCAGGGTTCGAAGACCTTGCGGCACCTGGTCCTGAATACAAGGATGGCCATATCGACATATTGGATGTCTTGAAGGCTTTGGATCTTCGGATCCCCGTCCCTATTCCCTATCTGCTAACCATTTCCGAAGTGGCTAACGAAAAGTTGATCGAACGATGCCTCAAAAACAGGCGCCGATTCGAGGAAAGTCGAAAGGGCAAAAAGTCGGTCCTACGGGACCTACCCACAAATGAGGATTCGTAGCCCTCGACCTCAAAGGTGCACGAAGCCGACCGGATAGGAATGATCCAGACCGTAGACTCTGCATCGGAAAAACCCGAGGTATTCCTCGGAGCCTATCCTATAACCTCGAACGTGCCTATACGGGTGGGGCGGGTGCATTGTTTGTGCGACGTAATCGTGCTGGATGTGCGGGCGTATGATGTTCTGCTATGCATTCCGTGGCAGGCGGCGGTCGGAGCGCGAATGCACTTTGACAGCTGTAAGGTGGTGCTCACATCGGCCCACCCCAAACCCCAAACGATACCAATGAGACTGGCGGTGCGCATGCGCACCCAGCCGGCGCCTTGAATCACCACGAAAGCCCATCAAATCAACATGATCCGACGCCTGTCACCAGACGAAAATGAACCCTCGACGGAAACTGACGAGACTGATGTACCCGACCGATATCCGATTCGGGTTCAGGATCGGTGGCGCCATTCTTGGCGGCGAGAACCCTTGGGGATAGTTCGGAGCGAGTCCAATTGGTCGCACGCGTTTTCCTCCGTGGTGCAGGGGGAACCCCTGCTGAGGGTGTCCCGAATAACTGACTTTTCGGAACCCCCTCCGTCCTTATATCTCGGGACGGACCCCCTACCTGAAAGATTTACCGAGCTGAGGGGGCTGTGCGATTTATCTTTTCGACCTCCACGGCCCCTACTCACGAATGAAAAAGCCGCGATACTCTTGAAAGAAGGGGTGTCGTTTCAACCCCGAACCAGGGAATATCGATGGGGGCCGAGGGAACTAACGCAGGCCTTTTCGGTAGAACCCTCGGTCGGACCCGAACTGGACAGTGACAGTGACATGGAAAGCTAGCCGATGAGTCTGGCGGACAGTCAACTTATTGCGACTGTCCTTTCAGCGAAAACCGACAACTCTTTGTTTGGGGCCCCGCCCGATGCCAGCGCGGCGGTCCGCACGGTTACGACGACGGTCTCCCTTCCTGAGGGAACCATAGAAGTTCAGTTACCAGCCCATGTTCCGGATGAATACAAACGCCTCCTCCTGGCGGTTATACAGGCCTATCTTGAGGCCGTCAGCATTCAGGACCACGACATAGGGCTAACCCCTTTGATACAGCACGCAATTGATACCGGGGATCACACCCCGATACATTGCCGACCATACCGATATTCCCTTAAAGAAAGACAGCTGGCGTTGGAAAGGGTACGGGAATTCGAGCGGTTGGGGTGGGTCGAACCATCGCTGGGGCCGTGGTGGTTTCCCGTGGTGCTCGTGCCAAAACGAAATGGTTCGGTCCGGGTATGTATCGACTACCGAAAATTGAACGCTATCACTACCAAAGATGTGTATCCCTTGCCGCGAATCGACAATTTGTTAGATGCTATCGGGGCCGCGCGAGTCTTTTCCAAGTTCGATATCCGACACGGTTTTCACCATGTCGCAGTCCGACCGGAGGACCGACCCAAAACTGCTTTTGTCCTATTTGAGGGCACGTGGCAATGGGTCCGGTGTCCCATGGGAATTTATAACGCCCCTGCAACGTTTCAGCGGGCCATGAATATGGCCTTCGCTGAGTTCGTTAACAAAACCCGACTAACCCAACCCCTGATCAGTTTCTGCGTGATTGTGTACATGGATGATATTTTTGTCTTTTCAAAAGCACACGAGTACCACGTGGAACACATTGAGTGGGTTTTGCATGCACTGAAGGATGCGGGGTTCAAAATGGCCTTGGAGAAAAGCGAGTTCTTCTTGTCGGAGATCTCATTCTTGGGGTACATCGTCATGGTCGATGGACTAAAACCGGATCGGAGGAAGGTGGTAGCAGTTCAAGAAGCCCCGGCGCCGGTCACACTCACCCAGGTTCGGGCTTTCCTAGGGCTGGCATCCTATTACTGACGCTTCATCAAGGGGTTCGCCGGTATAGCGAAGCCCCTCACGAACCTGCTGAAGAACGAGGAACAGCTGATCTGGACGTCGGAATGCGAAGCGGCGTTTCAGGTGTTGAAGGAGGCTCTGACATCTGCTCCTGTGTTGGCGCGTCCCGATCCGGCAAGACCGTTCGCACTGTACACCGACTGGCAGCCTCAGGCGATATCGGCGGTGCTGACTCAGCACGGGGCAGACGGAAGGGAACACGTCATTGAGTATGCATCCAAGACACTGAGCGAGGCGCAGGCAAATTACGAAGCGTGCAAAGGCGAACGCCTGGCGGTGGTGAGGGGGGTCCAGCATTTCCGGCCGTATCTTTACGGCCAGAAATTCGTGGTGGTCACGGATCATCAGCCGCTGCTGTCCCTACGCAACAACACGGACTACACGGGGATGCTGGGCAGGTGGGCGGTGCGTCTGCAAGACTATGAATTCGACATCCGCCACCGTGCCACGCGGCAGCATGGTAACGCCGATGGATTGACGCGCCTCCTGCCGCCCAACAAGTGTCCCGCCAACGAGCGACTCATTCCGTGGAGGCCAGAAGTCGCGGCGACGAAACCTCACTACGGGGAGCTACACGTGCTGCGCAAGAACGACGCCTGAGTCCGGAATGGAGGTTTCTCCGGAGATGGCAGACGCTATCTCTTTGCCCTCATTCAACTCGCTCGCTCTCTCGTCTAGTCCCTACTCGTCCCCTGAAACACATCTAAGTCCCTGTTTCTTATGTACCTTGCTTATGGTCCCGGACCAAAAGGGTCACATCCGGGAGGGCCCAATTTTCTTTTGTGGGTGCAGTGTAGTCTGTGTCAAGCAGTCAAGTCCCACGGACAATGCGTTAGGTACCGAAGTGAAAAGACGTGGGTCTGTCCCAACTGTAGAACGGACCAAGTCCCTACCTAGAAACGGATTTGCGCCAAGTGTCCGCCGGGCGGAAGTCTGGACGGACCTTCTGTTACTACGGAGGCTGTCAAGCGATTCGCTGTCAGAACTTACCAAATCCTAGCGGCGGAGAGTCACGGAGCGGGCGGAGGACTATCGCTGGCAGGGACCGACGTTACAAAAACGGAAAGTTGATGATGACGGAGGGACTAGCTGGTTGACGGTTCCGCACCCTTTTGCTAGGTTCGATTGGACGCGAGCCGCTCATGAAGAGGATGAGGTCCATTTCGCAGTCAAGTACACGGAAAAAGTCATCGAAAAGAACGGATGGTACTGGTCGGGAATTCGGGAAGACGTGAAATACACCGTTCAAAATTGCCCGGCCTGCGCGGCGGACAAGGCGCCGGTACAGATGCCTCGGACGATGGTGCCCACTCGGGTAGACCGCCCCTTTCAGAGGGTTAGCATCGACACGACGGATATCAACGTTTCGAGAGGTCCCGTCGATCAGGGAGAGCTCAATGTTCTTTTAGTGGTCGTCGATCATTTTTCGAAATGGATAGAGGCGTACCCAATGACCAGCCGGAATTCGCAGGAAGTAGCCCTGTACGTAAATCGATTTTTGTGCATGCATCTAGACGTAGAAGAGGTACACATGGACAATGGGTCGGAATTTCAAGGCGAAGTAGAACGTCACCTAGTCAGGGCGGACGTTAAGATTATCTACTCGCCGGGGCATTGGCCTCAAGCCAATGGCCTGGTAGAGAATGCCAATCGACTGATTAAGACCGCCCTTAGACGGAATATCACCGCGGGAGACACCCGGCCTTGGCCGGTCATTGTCGACCACATCTTGGCCGTTTATCGGGCTACCCCACACGGTAGTACTGGGATGTCCCCCTTTCAACTGAGAACCAATAGTGTCCCTCGGGTGAAATTGTCCCCCGTAGTAGGTACGGAAGTTAGAGCAACACGGGCCCAGAACCGAGATAAGGCCTGCCACTACATGGACTTAATGGCTAGGGCCTACCCCCCGTTAGCTCGACGTCGACAGCAGGCCGTAGATCGGACATATCAACGGCAGATCCGTGACTACGAGAATCGACACGCGTCGGCGGGACCACTGCCCCGCTATAAAGTTGGGGACTTGGTGGAGGTACGGAAATCTGCGCGCTCCTCCAAGATCCACCCGCGCTACACAGGCATTTACGAGGTCACGGAAGTTGGCGCACAGGGACAGCACTTCGTGAAGCTGATTCCCCGTCACAACTCCCAGGCCCGACCGTTGACACGGCACGCTGCCGCGCTCTGGCCCTTCTAGCCATCGCTAGGTCCCCTACGGGCTCCCGTTCCGACGAGATCATCCTCTCCTTCTTCCTCCTCCTCCTCTTCCTGATCTGCCTCGTCCATTCGTGCTGAGAGTTTCAGGGAGCAGGATGAACCATCGCCAGCCGGAGCATGAGCCCCTCGAGCATTTCCAGACGCCGCTTGCAGATTGCTTGTTGCAGCATCGGTTCAATGAGGAAAGGCAGTTGCGGTACGACATTCAACATGTGAACGTGCGAGCGCCCGGGGTTGTTGATTTGGCGGCGTACTCGTTGCTTGGCGATCGACTGACGTATGTGGGGGTGTACGTGGACGTGACGCAGTTGCCTGGTCGGGAGACGACTCGAGTCTTCATTGAGTTCCGCATGCTCCAGGTGGCACCCAACATCGTGCACAACGTCTCCACCTTTATCGGCGACTTGACGATCCTACCGCAGCCGAATCGGGAGCCGACGTGAAGTTTTGTGTGCGAATACGCGGTGGAAGCGGCCAGATCAGTGGCCAGATTGCAAGGACGGGGGGGGCACCGATTCACAACCCACGAAGTGCTGATGCGCAGGGCAGAGAACGGACCCATTGCGTTGGTGCCACAGCTCCCCGCGCTTCTTCCTCCCGCTGCTCCTCTCAACTTCCAAGCTATTCCCCCTGTCCCGTACTAAATGCCTCCCTTCTTCTCTTACACCACCCTCCCCTATCAACTCACGGAGGGCCCTTATCCCATGCGTGAGTTCTCGGAGTATTTGGTCGAGCTTACTGACATGGAGCCGCTGCCCTTCGCCGACGAAGACGTGTGGGAGTTGCACCGTGCGCTGTACAAGTTGGTGGCGCTGGGGATGTTCCGGTACTTCGTGGATCACGAAGACCACTGCATCGGGGAGCACTTCGTTGTCTACTGCGTCATCACACGGCCCAAGCCAGCGGAGAAGGAAGGGACGGTGGCGCTGTACCCATTCGCCCAGCTCCGGACGATCGATCTGGGATTGCTGGAGCTCATACATCTTGAGCTCCTCTCCATTGTGCAAGTGATCGCGAGCGAGAAGGAGGAGATCCAACCACGATTGCGGACAGCGACGGCCCCGCGGAGAACGTACAACGCAGTCGTCATCCCGGATTACATTGCGCAGTGCGCGAAGAGGTTGGAGGGCTTCCCAGAGGAAAAGCCATTGCGGCCTCCCTCGTCGTATCTGCGACCGGCGCCCCCGAAGGCCCCCAAGAAGACGCTGAAGAGGAAGAGACGCCACCCGTCTCTAGGAGCGCAAGGCAGCAGGATCGGCGGCGGCGAGGAGGTGATTCAGCCCGCGCGTACGCGGAATCCTGACCCCGTGCCTGGGAGTGCGGCGACGCTCGTTAAGGAGACTGTCGTGCCATCGCCGCCCTTTCCGCGTGTGCCCGATCTCAATCTTGATGGAGTCGGGCCATCATCAGCAGCAGCAGCCGGAGGAGGAAGCCGAATGGGATTTCCGGATCCCATATCTAGMCCCCCCGTCCTCGCGGGACCTCTCCGTTCCCGCCAGTCACCCCGGGGTGCCCCGCTCATTGACATTGGTAGTTCCTCCGCGCCGGACGGTCCATCCGACAGAGGTGGACTTCATGGTGGAGCCCGCCACCATCAGGCTCGAGGCCATTGCTGGGGCGCCGCACCCTGATCCGGCCTGGGGACCATATCTGACACCCCCTTTTCAAGGGTGTATTGAGGCGCGACTGATTGGGACGCTCATCTACGAGACCGGGCAGCGTCCCAATGTGATGTACCACTTCCTTGTCTTCGCAGCGCAGAAGCGGGAACGACGGCCTTACACCTAGACTCATGTGGTGATGACGGGTCCAGGGCCCCGATCGGTATGCAAGCGGGTGGTGCGAGCGGTGGTGGATCTGGCGCCACGTATCCTGTCTCATGTGCCGGGAGCCTTCCTCTATCCCTCGTTCGTCCAGCACCACTTCCAGGAGGAAGATGCGCCGACGACAATGGCCGCTTTTCTTCCACCTATTCTGCCCCCTCTCAATCCCGACATCGATCACTTCCTCTTATCACCCTCGCCTACCTCTCCCAGCTTCTCTCCTTCTCCCTCTTCATCATCTTCTTCTCTTATGCCCAAAGTTTGCGCGTCGAGACGCGCTGTGTATAAAAAAAAAAAAAAAAAAAAAAAAAAATTAAAAACTACTTACCGATCGGGACAGTTGACGATGAAGAGACCGCCCGATCGGATGTATACTATGGGAGGAGGTGATGGAGGATGCAGTATGCATCCACGTAGATTAGGAAGATGACCAGGCCAGCTGACGATGAAGAGGCCGCCCGATCATCGAAGATATGATGACATCAGCAGTCGGGAGACTGCTTATTTTTCGGAACCCCCTGCGTATCACAGATGTGATAAGCTCAGATCCGTACCGCGCAGCTTGCCGTATCCCTGAGGTAAAACTCCGCGGAAGCCCCGAGCCACGGATGCGGACAAACAGGGGGGTTTCTCTCTTTTTGCTTTTGTTTTCTTTTCGAAACGGCTTTTTCATTTTGTTTGGTTAATAACTCCCGCGCGGGCGAATAGCGGCCGCGGCATGAAAACCAAGAAACGGTTTCGGTGGGGACTTTTTGAATTTTTGCGTGCGCGCGCCTAAGCCCCGACTTCTTCGCGCGTCTCGCACCCCCGTTTCTTGCTTTGCATTCCCGCGCCATCTTCCCTTCTTGCTGCGCGCATTTCCCCCATGCCAGACTCTTCGTCTTCCCCTCCGCCCAGCTCGATCCTTGCCCCATCTTCTCCGCGAAGTGATTGGCCGCGTAGTTGGGATGCTCGGATCAATGTGGAGAGCGGGAAAACGCGCACCACTTGGACGAACACCCCAATCACATAGGACCATGCAACCCCGCGGGTCGAACCCCCTAACTCCCCACCTTTCTCTTGTCCTGCTCATCTACACCCTGCGCTGCCCTCACCTTGCGCTGGCAACCCGCCGCCTCCCGCGCTATAAATCCGCGCAACCCTCTACTCTCCCTCTCTTTGATCTCGGCTGCAATGCTGCGCGAGCTATGCGTGAAAGTCCACGGCGCCGAACAGGCTCGACGAGCCGAAGGACGGGCGGAGTGACGACGTGGGGTGGACCCGCGGTAGTCTCGGGGTGACGCAGTCGGAGGGACCGAGCAGTGGTGGGGATTTGACGTCGGCCGCAGCAGGGCCTTGTGGCTATGGTGGTCGGTGGTCTTGGGAGGTTCGAAGGCTGCGCCTGGGGGCGGCAATTAATTGAAATTTTTGTGTACAAGAAGGACTCGCTTTTATCTCCATTGCTGCTTTGTTTATGCATGTCGTATGTGTGCAGCCCCGAGTGATGGGAGCTGGTTGTGCGCATGAGTGATGTCGAAGGTCTATGGATGATTAGATGTCCTGTCAAGGGTTATTGATTGTTTGCGTGCATGTGTGTATGTACTTGTCCGGGTGGGGACGGGGAAACTGAACTGGGGGATCGTCTGCCTAGGAGTACGAGTGTGTTAATCCCGTTGTTCCCCTCCCTTCCGCGGCCCTTCGAGGGCGCGCGAGTTCTCGGTGTAAGCTCTCTCCCTCTCTCTCTCCCGCCTTCCTTTTTGAGTTTCTCGTCCCCGTACCGGTGACGTCAACCGCCTGCGTCCGCGCGCGCGGTCGACGCCCCCGCAAGGGGAAGAGAGCTTCGATTTCGACATCTTCCTCCGACGCACTAACCCTGAGAGAGAAGGTTGCATCGAGTGTTGTATGGAGTCGATGTTGGTTCGGATGACCGGGAGCGTGGGATCTTGCCCGTGTTCATCGCCTACCTCCGATCGTCTCATCTCGCTACCATTTCCGACCGTATCTTTACGACCAGAAATTCGTGCTGGTCACGGATCATCAGCCGCCGCTGTCCCTACACAACAACACGGACTACACGGGGATGCTAGGCAGGTGGGCGGTGCGTCTGCAAGACTATGACTTCGACATCCGCCACCATGCCACGCGGTAGCATGGTAACGCCGATGGATTGACGTGCCTCCCGCCGCCCAACAAGTGTCCCGGCAACGAGCGACTCATTCTGTGGAGGCCAGAAGTCGCGGCGACAAAACTGCACTAGGAGCTACACGTGCTGCGCAAGAACGACGCCTGAGTCCGGAAAGGAGGTTTCTCCGGAGATGGCAGACGCTATCTCTTTGCCCTCATCCAACTCCCTCGCTCTCTCGTCTAGTCCCTACTCGTTCCCTGAAACACATCTAAGTCCTTGTTTCTTCTATACCTTGCCTATGGTCCCGGACCAAGAAGGGTCACATCCGGGAGGGCCCAGTTTTCTTTTGTGGGTGCAGTGCAGTCCGGTGTCAAGCGGTCAAGTCCCACGGACAATGCGTTAGGTACCGAAGTGAAAAGACGTGGGTCTGTCCCAACTGTAGAACAGACCAAGTCCCTACCGAGAAACGGTATCTGGATGCACGATTAGCCGACGGATTTGCGCCAAGTGTCCGTCGGGCAGAAGTCTGGACGGACCTTCTGTTGCTACGGAGGCTGTCAGGCGACTCGCTGTCAGAACTTACCAAAGTCGAGCGGCGGAGAGTCACGAAGTGGGCGCAGGACTATCGTTGGCAGGGACCGACGTTACAAAAACGGAAAGTCGATGATGACGGAGGGACTAGCTGGTTGACGGTTCCACACCCTTTCGCTAGGTTCGATTGGACACGAGCCGCATGAAGAGGATGCGGTCCATTTCGCGGTCAAGTACACGGAAAAACCCATCGAAAAGAACGGATGGTATAGGTCGGGAATTCGGGAAGATGTGAAATACACCATTCAGAATTGCCCGGCCTGCGCGGCGGACAAGGCGCCGGTACAGATGCATTGGACGATGGTGCCCACTCGGGTAGACCGCCCCTTTCAAAGGGTTAGCATTGACACGACGGATATCAACGTTCCGACAGGTCCCGTCGATCAGGGAGAGCTCAATGTTCTTTTAGTGGCCGTCCATCATTTTTTGAAATGGATAGCGGCGTACCCTATGACCAGCCGGAATTCGCAGGAAGTAGCCTGGTACGTAAATCGATTTTTTTGCATGCATCTAGACGTAGAAGAGGTACACATGGACAATGGGTCAGAATTTCAAGGCGAAGTAGAACGTCACCTAGTCAGGGCGGACGTTAAGATTATCTACTCGCCGGGGCATTGGCCTCAAGCCAATGGCCTGGTAGAGAATGCCAACCGAATGATTAAGACCGCCCTTAGACGGAATATCACCGCGGGAGACACCCGGCCCTGGCCGGTCATTGTTGACCACATCTTGGCCGATTATCGGGCTACCCCACACGGTAGTACTGGGGTGTCCCCCTTTCAACTGAGAACCAATAGTGTCCCTCGGGTACAATTGTCCCCCTTAGTAGGTACGAAAGTTAGAGCAACACGGTCCCAGAACCGAGATAAGGCCCGC